ACATACATACATACATACGTATGTACGTACATACATACATGCATACATTGCATATATGTATACATATATATATATATGCAACGTATGTATGTACGTATGTATGTATGTATGTATGTATGTATGTATGTATGTATGTACCTATGTATGTACGTATGTATGTACACATCTGTCTATGTATATATATATATACACATACATATACACATGTACATACACCTATACGCATACATACACATTTACACACACACACGGACATGGACATAGACATCAAAATTAGGCAGCATAGACATAGAAATCTACGTAGACATATACGTACACATAACATTTATGAGTTGTGTGTGTACATATCTATATATACACGCACATTCGATTTTGTAATTACATTCAGATGTATATATGCATGTTTATACGAATATTATATATATATATATAAGTTCTACTGTGAGTACACATATTTGTATCTATATACACACTCTGATCCCCGAGCCTTAAGCACTAAAGCCGTGAACCGAATGAAGTGGCTGGTGGGCATCACAGAAACCCAAGCCCTGATGAAGATGCCTGAATCATTGGTGCAAGGCTTTGGGGTATCTTGTAGTATAGCTCTATTGAGGACGGCAAGGAAGAGAAACGCTGACGAACGGGGTTTAGGTTTGGGGCTTCGCGAAGCTGCAGGGGGTTTAGCGTTTAGGGTTTAGGGTTCAGCTGTAGGGAGCCCTTGCTAAGACGGTTATATACCGAGGAACCGGGACCCTTTGTTGACAGTGTCGATGGTGAACGTGCCTGTAACATTTGTTATATGCATAATAGTTAAACAAGACCTAGAAACGGTAGTAACAAAGAAACCGATGGCGCCATAGAGGTAAAAACAAGAAAGGCATCAGAGAATTGGGTTCGGAGTTGAACGCACTCTATGCTACTACTTGTAGAGGGCAGGCGTTCAGGGCATAGTGTCTTTGCTGCCTTTTAGGTCTGTATTAAACTTAATTAAACTGACTAAACACTTGAACTTCGTTGCTCTCGGAAGTTTGCACTGTCGGACACTGTCGGGCTCCTGGGTAGAGTGCCTACAGGTCGGCGCCCAACTTCCTACACCCTAAACCCTAAACCCTAAACCCTAAACCCTAAACCCTAAACCCTAAACCCCAAAAACCCCGGCAACTCGCAGCAGCAAGGCAAAGGCAAACAACAAAGCAGCAGCAGCATCGGTCCATCCTGAGACCCACAAATCCAGGTCCTACGCCTCAGGAAGAATTAAAAAAATTGAGTATAATAATAGTAGTAATAGTACTCATAATCATTTTAAGGATTGAATAATAACAGTAATAGTAGCAATAATAGCTTTTCATAATCATTTAATAATTTTAAGAACTCAACGATGCAAAAATACCACGCATTCGAGTAGAACGGATCGATAAGTCAGTCTCCCAGGGCCCCCGCCCAGGTCGGGCTGGACAGAAGAATATATTCAGCCGTCTGCTCCTGCTGTGCGGTTTAGGGTTTAGGGTTTAGGGTTTTAGGGGTTTTGGGTTTAGGGTTTAGGGTTTGGGGGGTTTAGGGTTTGGGGTTTCGGGATTCAGGTGTGGGGTGTAGGGCTTCAATGTACCCTGAACGAGGCTTGTTTGATATTGCTCCACTTAGAAACTCCTGTCATGGTATGGCCGACGATGCCCGGCATGTGGATTCACAGCTTTAGTTGAGGTCTGCCTGCTGAGAGTAAAACAGAACGCCCGTAGCAGCGGCGGGTTGCTTGCTTGCTGTTTTAACAGGCCCTTTTTCCAACTGCAGGTGCTGCTGAAATCCCAGCGGCACTTTAGGCTCCAGGGTTTAGCCTTGTGGGTTTGGGTTTGTCTTAACCTTCGGAATATCATAGTATATACTATGATCTACTTAAAATAATACATAGTAGCCCTAAACCCTAAACCCTAAACCCTAAACCCTAAACCCTAACATAAGATAGTATAGGGGGGGTATGTGCTTTGGGGGGCCTCCGGAGTCTCAGTAGCACGGCACCCCTGGGGTTTAGGGCGTTAGAGCCGCTCTGAAACCAACTAACGGTCCGGCTTGGGGTTTAGGGGTTTAGGGTTTAGGGTTTAGGGTTTAGGGTTTAGGGTTTAGGGTTTAGGTCCGGCTTGGGGTTTAGGGGTTTAGGGGTTTTACAGTTGGGGTGACTCTTTTGCGTCTGCCCGATTTAGGCTCCCAACAGGTGCGATGCGAAAATTTGTCCGGTTTAGGGCTTAGGGTTTACGAACTGTTGCAAGACCCTGAGCCCTAAGCCCCGAACAAGGAGCCTTCGACCCAGTGCCCGGCACTAGCCTTGAATCCCAAACGCTTCGGGGCTGGGCCCGGAACCCTCACTCCAAAACCCTTCGAGGCCCTACACCCTGAAACCGTAGCCTCCTCAAACGTGAGCGACCTGGGCAAAAGAAGGCAGTTCTGTAGGCTTTGAGGTTAGCGGTTGAGGCTTTTGGGGCTACCTGCATCTCCTTGGGATCATGGTGTTCACGCGCCAGCACAGGTTCTGAATGCACGGGCCCACCGATGGTTTCGAAGCAAGCGTTCCGAAGAAGTTCAGGGATTGAATCGCCGAGGACAATTTCCGAAGGTCGCAGAGACTTGAGTTGTCGGGTGAAGAGCAGCCAGTTTTCAAATTTCCGAATATGCGCAGGTAGGAAACACATACGGATACTGGCACCCGCTAAGACACTACTGTAAGATATCACAAGTTGTCTGCAACTCCCTCAACAACAGGAGTGAAACAATAGGAGTGAGACTGATATTGCCGGAAGGTCAGCCGATCGGTGTCGAAGCTTGGGGAATCCTGTCACTGCCCAGGTTTCAACGAATCGCGGCCTCTTTCCTGAATAGGCTTTGAACTCCTGACGAAAATGTGTCATACGTGTCATGCTCATCTAGAGAGCTGTCCACTTCCTGCTGCATTTCTGCATCGCCCATGCAGACCTGGAGACGTCGGAGACGTCCTTTCTCCTCTTGCAGTAATCGTTGGTATCTGCGGGTGTAAGGATGCTTAGAGCCCTGAGAGTAGGCTCTGAGATCCGCGGCGCGCTTCAGAAAAGAAACTGCCTTCTTCGCTTTATCAAGCCTCCGTAGAATGATGTACATGTTCCAGTGCGAGACAGCGTACCACTCGCTGCTCGCTTCCACACCGTGCTTCTCATATTCACGAATCGCAGCAAGAAAGTACAACTGAGCTTTTCTTAGCGATGCTGTGTCTTCTTGGCGAAGTTGGTGCCTCGTTTGCCTGATCACTCCCATGATGCGATATGCATTCGCCACGTCCGGTAGATTGAAGGCGCACAGCACACGCTCAGCCTCTCGGACTGCGGATGTTGCTTCGTTCAGCGACTGCTTAAACTCAAGCACCTCGGATGCCGCCAAGTTTGCCAAAGTGTTTGCTTTGAGCAACAGGGCTTGAGCTAATAATGCTTCGTCAGCCGAAGCCATGTTCAGCTGTCGCAGCTGATTGATCGCGTGCTGCGCTCCCTCGCAAGCTCGGTGCGTGTCCCCATCCCGATCGTTGCCAACAAAAGCTCTTGCATGGAAAGCTTGTGCCTCCAGCAAGTAAAGAGGCGCAGATTTGATGGAGGCCGTTGGAATGACTCCCAGTGCCAGATCCCATTCGCCACAAGATGTCAAGAGCGACACACGTTCCGCGGTGGATGCAGCCGACATCACTTCCCTTGGCTAGAGCTACCGATGCTACAGCAGCTGAACAGAAGCTGCTTGGATGTAAGAGCAGCAGTTGCAATCGCAAGAAGCAGAAAGAGATGCGATGGTCAATACCACCGTGATCGCTATGCAAGTCCTACATCCGAAACCTTGCGGGCACCCAGGATTGAGTGCTAAATGCCACAGCTCCTGGAAATACCTTGGTGGCTGGAAGGTTCAGGGACGACCCCTGAACAGCAACAGGACTAGAGTCTTTGAGAAACTGGAGCGGACCGCTCGAAAGGGACTAGAGTCTTTGAGAAACCGGAGCGAATCGCTCGAAAAGGACTAGAGTATTTGAGAAACTGCTCGAAAAGGATCGAGCCTTTGAGAAACCGGATCAAACCGCTCGAAGGGGTCTGAGTGTTTGAGACACGTGCGCAAAACCACTTGAAAGGGACTAGAGTATGTGCGAAACACGGAGCACTGCTCGAAAAAGACTAGAGCGTTTGAAATTCTAAGTATTAAGGCACCCTAAACCCTAAACCCTAAACCCTAAACACTAAACCCCTAAAACCTAAAACCTAAAACCCTAAACCCTAAAACCTAAAGCCCTAAACCCTAAACCCTAAACCCTAAACCGCTCTTACAGCCTCTTTGGAGACAGGAAGGAGGCGTCAGTGCGAGGCGTCTCTGGCATC